TAATGCCCTCTCTCGATATAGTTTTCCCGCACAGCAGAGGTGCACCGTTTCAGGCAAGGTCACTTAGGTTTTAATGGGGTAGGAATTACGAAAGGGGGACAGTGATTGTAAAATAGATAACAGGGAATTGTTGTTCGAAGGTCAGGCCACGCCATGAGCGCAACTTCCTCTCAAGCTATCCTCGCCACGCACCTGCAGGTATCTTAAGGGGCTGTTGTTCTGTTTCCAGGCTAGTACGTGAAGGTTTGGGAAAAGATTAGGCCCCATGGGAAAAAAAACACAGCCCTTGGACAAATGGGTAAAGATCTCTATGCTCATCACCCTAATGGTCATTGATTTCCAAGGAATGCTTTACTTGCTACCACCAGGTGCAGTGCAAATTATTAAATCTTTTTTTGTTTAAACAACTCTGTCAAAGGTTTATCTCGCTGAAAAAATAAAAGGGTTCACTGGAGTTAGTTCCCTCTCGTGGGGAGGCCCTTCCCACCAGCATTGGTGTGCGTGCGCAACTGCAGTGCTGCACCTTTACCATGTTCCATGCAAAACCGGGAACAGAAACTGTAACGTTTCTAAGTTTGCATGCTTTCTGCTCAAATCTACCGGCTGATAAATTGCATGGCGATGTCCACATCAGAGTTCAACGTTGTTATTTGCTGTTATTCCTTGTCGCAGCATGTGTTACCTCCCTGTACCCCCACTGCTCGTGGCATTCATTGTGCATCTAAAATCCACGGAATTCCACAAAGCTTGCCCCTGCGCGCTCCCACTCGGACACCGAAAGTTTCCCATTGTTGCCGCACCTCAACCCACGAGGTCCAGCACCATTCTTTCGTCTGCCAGCATGGCAGCGCGCCCACGCTGCAGGCGAGGCCATAAAGTTAAACGATTTAGTCTGAAGCTGCGAATACTGCACTGTGGCCCCTTTGCCAACCCCACTCGTAGCCTCATGGCACAGCTTTATTGTGGCTTGGCAGCCGCAGCCATCGCCGTTACGATCATTTATTTAAACAAAGGTAGCAGCGGGCCGGTACATTTGTGGGGGTTGAAAACCCCCTCTCACAGCCCACTGCCTGTCCCCACATTCCTCCTGACGCTCAACAGAAACCTTAATGAATTAAAACACCTTCTGTTCCATCCATGTACATACCCTTTCTTCAAACCACTGCTCGATGGAGTCCTCCCCATGCGGTGTGAGTCATTGGAGTTTTCTTGGCCATACTTTACCATGCTGGCTACTGCAGTATGGTGAAGGTGGGGAGCATAGCTGTTGGGAGCATGGTATATTACATAGCTTTTGGGAGCATGGTATATTACATAGTATTTGGGGGCATTGGTATATTACATAGTATTTGGGAGCATGGTATATTACAAGCATATGGACGTGTGGATTTTTCTCCGGGTCCTCCGTTTTTTCCCTCCACATATAGAATCAATATCACACGTTTAGAGTATTTGGCTACTATAAATTTCTACATGATGATAAGCCACTTCGTTGAGCTATCATTTGGGATGGCCAGGTCGCTTCTGAAAGAGCGCTACTGCAGCTCAACGGGCCTTACCTGATAAAATAAAAATATATAGTTTAATAGTATTTTGCTGCACTGCTCTCTGCTGTATCGCACAGCATCTGTTCTATGCATATTAGCTGCTTAGCTACGCACTATCCAGGCTTAGGCCCTGCTTAGGTTTATGAGACTGGGTGTGTTAATTGTGATTTGGCCAAAGGCTGACTTCTGCACGTCCATGTAAAAATGAAACGTGCTTTAGCCTCTCGGCCTGCTCTCTCATTAGCTCGCAGCAAGTAATAGGTATCCAAATGTTCCACTGGAGTCTGGGGGTAACTGTGGAAGAAGGAACCGGTGTTTTTTTGGAAGCCTCGTATCATTAAAGCCACTCTCCACAATCTCTATTGTGATCAGCTGTTTGACCAGCGCTGAATGAATGCAGCACACATGGCCAAGCCTATGAAAAAAAATCACCTGGAATGCACCCAATTTTATCCGATCACGGAAGCTAAGCATGGTTGAGCGTAGATAGTGCTCGGATGGTTGGCCTCAAAACAAGTTGTCTTAGGTGACCGGTGGGGGGGGGGGGGGGGAGGCCTTCGCACCAACTCGTGCTCACCAGTATGGCCCAGTGTGACCCTCATGAACCTGAGGGCGTGGGTGGGGAGGCCCTCATCCAGCAGCGGATGAACATAAGAGCCGTCCGCGTACATGCATGCTCAAAAGCCGAGGTGTATTCCTCAGGTGAGCATATGCACGTTTCTCATAGCCACTCTGTCATTCAGTCAAGTAGCTTGTAAAATAAATTCCATGAGTTTATGCAGCAAAGTTACTGAATAACGGATAAGTTGGAAACCCTACTTTCCATACAGTCTTTCAACAGGCACCTCACAACGCTATGGGTATCTATAACGCCGATGGTGTAACCCCTATAAAATGTATCCCGAGCGGTATCCATAACCCCTGTATTTATGTAATCACCATGACGGTGGTCATGGTAAGAACATGAATACACCTGTCGCTGCACCGCGTGGCCCCCAAACCAATTCTGATTAGCAGCAGCAGTGTTGTAACTGCAGTGCCCACACCTGTGTCCAGGTTGCCAGGTGACGGCCATTATCACACCGCACTTGGGTTCAAGGTAGTTTCGTACAATACTTTTTCCAGCGCAGCGATGTTTTCCGAGTGATTTTTTTTTTGGTACGGGGGGGGGGCTACTGATTTCCAAGGAATGCTTTATTTGCGTGTATGTTGAACTTCGTTCGCACCGTACGTAGCCAACCGTGCTAATCGGAGGTGCGGGGGGGAAGGACAACAAACTAAAGACAAAAAGCAGTTCTAAAGCTGTAGCCTTGTTTTAAGGATGAGGCTTAAATAAAAAAAAAACTAAGCGGATGTCACAACACGCGTTACAGTTAAACTCTGAACAAATGTCCGACGCTAAATGGGATGAGTTAATGCCATGACCTGCTTTTAGCTCTCATTCGTTCGACTTGAGCTCTTACCCCACCCCCCCCTATTGTGTACGAGGAAAGACTGCGACGCCATTGCTTAGTCGTACAGTATTAATATTCGTGGCCTGACAATAGTTTATAAGTGGGGCTGAGCCTTCATCAGAGGGTTTTCAGCCACCTCCAATCCCCCCAACGCTTCCACCTCACTCACTTGCAGGGCTGGTTCATATAAAGGTAAAACTAAAACTATTTAAACTTTTTTTTATTTTACCAGGTACGGTCCACTGAGCTATGTAGCTCTTTTTCAGAAGAGACCTGGCCACAAAGGATAGCTCAACAAAGTGGCTTATCACGTGAAAATGTATAGCAGCCAAATACTCTCAACGCATGTTTCTAAATGTGGAGGGGAAAAACCGTAGGATCCGGAGAAAATGCCACACTACCACGGGGAGAGAGAGAGATGCAAAGTCCAAATGTACAGCAAGCGCGTCAGGGTTGAGATCGAACCCACGACCTCCTGTATACCAGGTGAGGTAGGTAACATCTCACCAGCGTGGTCTATGCCGTTATTTTTATTTAAAGAAGTAAACAAGTAATGCGTTGGCATGATCGTGGCGTCCTGAAGATTGTAACTGTGGAGAAAGGTGAGGGGCTTGAGTACCCCCCCCCCCCCCCCCGTGCGTCACACATTTGAGAAATCACTGTGAAGGTCACTGCCCGATTAATCAATAACAGGGCAATTTGAACGCCTTCCAAATTGCAAAATAAGATCTGTGCAGTGATATGTTTGGTTCTTTGTTTATACACGCTGGCCTAGCCCTGTGACGTCTTGTTTTACTTTGAGATAACAAATATTTGTTGGCAGGAACAGACCTGTGCAGAGGTCTGTCCATTCCTCACGTTATGAAACTCAAGGTTTAAATGTGCAAACATACTCATATATTTTATTAAGTTATACTGTCTGGCTTCCTGGTTGGCTGGCTGGTGCGTGGGTGGGAGGGCATCACGCCAACCCCTTCACCCCAGCCATGGATCCTGAGCAAACAATTTTTCGACTATTTTTAATTTTACCATGTAAGGCCCACTGAGCTTTACAGCTCTTTTCCAGAAGCGACCCGGCCATCACAAATTATAGCTCAACGAAGTGGCTTATGACGGTATACATTTTTTGCAACCAAATACACCAAGCGGCACGTTGATTCAAAATGTGGAGGGGAAAACCGGAGGACCCAGAGAGAAATCCACACGACCACAGGAAGAGAAAGACTTGCAACTCCAAATATACAGCAGGCGTCAGGGTCGGGGTCGAACCCACACTCCTATGTACATGCACAGGCTTGCTGGTACGTAATAATAATAATAATTGGCCAAACATCCCAGGCAGCACTTTCTTGAACATCCTTCTTCTTGAATATGGCTCTGTTCATGTCCCCAGGTCCTTTGAATTAGTCAAAGGGCAGCCCGAAGGAATGTCACCAATTCGTCTGCTGAAATTTCCGAGGCTCATGATAGTGTGGTCCGGATTTACACGGTCGAATGCCACCTGCCTTTCTCTGGTTTTCCACTGCAATAGATGAAAAAAAGACTTGAGTCACTGGAAAAAGAATTGGCACTTGTTTAATGATGTTTACTTGGTAACTGTAGCACTTAAAATATGTCTGCACTAAGTGCTGTTTGGGATTACTAATTATTTGCTGTGGGCAATGAGTCCAATGGAAATAGACCAAGGTCCAATCCACTCAACAGAAATATCCATCTCGGAATCCTCAGTAGATGCAAATGGATACTTCAGCTTTGAAGGGAATACCCTCTGAATGTGACATCATCATAGGGCTTCTCCCAATGTTTTTTTTATTTGGCCTCTTCTTCATATGACATCATTACAGTAGCAGAGTTTTTGTTCTGTGCATTGAACGTTTTTCTTTTGAGTACAAAGTAAAACCCTCTCGAAGTCAGACAATTCGGCGAGGAGAGTGTTTGATGAATGAATGAATGAACTGATCTAAAGCTGACGTGCATTGCTGCCATCGTCTCATTCCAGGGAGTGGGATTATCGACAGGAACCAGGCGGTGATCATGCTGCGGAACCAGAACAGGCGCTCGCAACTCTGGCAGCTGGAAGTCCAGTAGCGGTGCGGCACAACTACGACACGCCTAACACCGCAGCAAAGTCCCGTTTGCCACCGCCGGCTGTTTGTGAAGCCGACGCAGAGAAAGACGCGCGGCGTTCTGTGCTTGAATGCTTCTTCGAAGACGCCAGAAGTTTTTGGGTGGACGCATCAAAGAAGATTTTTTTTTTGCGAGTGAGAATGCGCCATTGAACTTGACACATGCAATGTGGGTTCTGTTTCCTTTTTCAGAATTCCAAGCTGAACCCCCCCACCTCACCCCCGGTCAACTTTGCCAGCTTAACCCTTTACCATTCCCAGATGTCTGCAAGTTGCAGGGTGGGGTGTCCCCTTCACCTGCTGAATCTCCGATATGCGCAAGCGGTTCGGTGTTAATTTCATTTATAGAGGCGTAGTAGCGCCGCTGTTTTTTAAGACATTTTTCTGTACTCACCGCAGAAAACCGTAGCAACACGACTGCACTCTACGAGAGCCGGCGTCAAACTATGCCACACACGCCCTCCCGCGTGGCCTTTTTACTTCCGATTCCATTCGGAATCGATTTTGTCGCGATGACGTACACGTACATAATCGTAACGTAATCGGAAGAAAAACCGACGACGTGCACACGCACACGTACGTCATCAGAGCGGGAGAGGGTGAACAGGCAACAAGAAACGTGAGCCATTTTCCTTGCACTCCGCGCGTTGAGTCGTTGCCACATTACCCCACTCATATCTCGTGGGGGGAAATGTGTAACCGATGACGTGCAAGCATTCACTACCACGCGGGGAATTCGAAACCAGTCGCGAGCTGTGGAGGAAAAAAAAACATCTACCAAGTTGTTAAATAAGAGTGATAATCTGGATATGACACAGGCGTCGGGAAGTGGGGGGGGGGGTAGATGACACTTGCCTGTGCAGGCGATACTACCCGCGTGATAATGGCAAATGCACTCTGAAAGGTCGCTGAGCTGCACAAATGTCCTCATGGCGTAGCACCATTTACAGTGGCAACAGCCCAACAGGGTAACCAACTTGTAGGACTAGTTCGCAAAAAAAATTACAGCAAAGACGTATATTTGTCAATAGGCACAGCACTTTAAAACCACACGGAACCTTCTGCTCTCCATTGGCCACGCAAGCCACAGTACGGCAGCCCGGCTGCAGAGCATTAGGGGATTTCGCCAACTATGATATTAATTTTAAAATCTTCCGCATGCAATTTGAAAAAAGCAACAACCTGCAATTGTATGTTTAGTGTTGTCAGCCATTCCACTGCAGCATCCGGAGTGAACTATAAACTAAACTATAAACAATTTTTATTTTCCGGGTAAGGCTCACTGAGCTATATAGCTCTTTATCAGAAACGACCTGGCCACAAACGGTAGCTCAACCAAGTGGCATGCCGCGGTATTTTCGTAATTATATGAAAGGAACGAACCTCGTGCCCCCTCCGCTCTCCATTGGCCATGCACGTTGCAGCCCGACAGCCCAGCAGCCGCCACCCCTCTGCCCTTTCAAATAACCTTGATCGCGCATGGGCAGTCGGGCAGACGGACAACTGAGACGCAGACACACAGATACGGATGCACTCGCGCGGAGACGCGCAGAGATGCGCAAGAGACATAAGGTTCACATTTGTTTTATTACGGAGGAGTTTGGGGGGGGGGGGGCATGGCTCGATCCGCGGTATATCTGAATCCACGGTGTCGTGAGCCATGTTCTATCGGGCATTTACTGTACCGTTGATTTGGCTTCAAAACCCATGTGATCACTTTGTGGCGAGAGGGTGCCATGTTCCTGCTGATTTGGGAAAAATCCTACTAAACCCACGCCAAGGTACAGACCCGTGATATATTCTTGATTTACATGTTGTACAGCCCTGTTTTGTTAATCTACTGCTGGATGATGGCTTTCCCACGCCATGCAGTTCATATGTATTGTTTTGGCCATACTTCACCATGCTGGTCAGTGCGGCGATGGTGGAGCATATGACCGTACAACAGTGGGTTTTGGTGGAGCCCTGCAGGAGCCTACAATCCCGTTTTCACTGCAGCGTGGTCACCCAAACACGATCCAACTTTAACCCTACTTAGCTTCCGAAATCTGCTGATAATGTCGTCGATGGTACTCAACCCCATTCAAGATATCAACACCGGCTTTATGACAGTTAAAAATGCGTGCTGCGTGCTAGACCTTTATCACCGATTCTTTAAAATTGTGGTCGCCACTTAAGAGCATTTACAATTCCCAGCAACATGGCTAATGTGCTGGGTACTTATCCAAATGCGAGCAAATAATTGCCGAGTCAATTTCCCCCGGAGCATTAAAAAGAAACCAACTGTGCGCCCAACGCAAATTCCAATGTAAATGACGTCCTGTGAGTCCTGCCAGCCGGAGCGTCATTGTTGTCGGTAAATGTCACATTTAATCACACAAAAGCAACGGCTTCGAATAACACGATGGCATCGAAGCATTCGTGATACCGACGCCACCTTTGTCAATATATCTGCTTGCAGAGCTGGTGGCGATGTGTTCGCTCGTGCGCCCTTTTGTCATCGTGAGCTAATTTGCAGAGGGTAAAAATTGGCCGTGGTGCACTTTGGAGGGACATCGCTCCTCTGCCAAACACAAAGCAATTTGCCTTTCGCAGTAACTGTATACCCGCGTTGGGAAACCATTTCTACGCGAGAATGAGATGCTGTGCTCTCCTTTACATGTGGACATGTTGGCGGGTACACTGGTGCAGCGTAACACATCAGTCCTCGTAAAACCATTCTAAAATCTAAATTTGAACTGACATTCTTCCGACTGCTTCGACCTCACGAGATCTGATTTTGACGCTCGCCACCACCCCGCAAGATTTTCTCACCGGGGTTGCAAATCGCCGGGGCAAATAAATGAAAGAAATCATTATCGCCCAAATATTTGTTTTTGTATACCACGCACCATCGTTCTACCGCCAATACGTTCATGTACTCTCCAAATCCGTGATGAACTTACAAAAGTCAGAACGCTGGTGAAACTCGATATCCAAGGTGCTCTCAACGTGTAGACCTCTTTGTGTTTTTAGGCAGTATCTTTTAACGTGCATTCACCGAGCGAGTCCATCGCCTTCACAATTACTCCGCAGGCACCTGGCGGCTATTTTAAACAGTGGCTCTGTCGGCTAGGGGCAGTGTAGAGAGTTCGCTCCCAATGCACTCGGTCCCCCATCGTTCGGTAGTAGCTCGTGACATGGAGAAGGACGCCCAAATATATAATGCGTTCCGCACTGAGCAACCCTCCAGGATCGCCCGCGAAACGTTTTATGTTTCTCTTGAACTTTATAGCTGGGTTTTCAGACATCGATAGAAACGAAGCTAATTTCCAGCATTGCATTACCCCCATGACAGAGAAGCGTTCCCGAGAGGATGAAATGAGGTATTTCAAGACGAGCATGTTGTTACATTGGTCAGGTTCGCAAGGTTTTTGTTGTTGTATGAATACAGTACTGTATTTAAGTAATGCATGCTATTTTCTGTATATTGTTTTTGTTGTAAGAGAATTTGTTGAATGCTGTATCTGCTGAAATGTGTTATTAAAGAGCATTTGGGGATTTCGCCAACTATGAAATTAATTTAAAATCTTTTTTTGCGTGGTATTTGAAAAAAGCAGCAGCCTGCAATTGCACGTTTAATGTTGTATGCCATTCCACTGCTGAACTATAAACTAAACTGTAAACTATTTTACGTTACCAGGTAAGGTCCACTGAGCTATATAGCTCTTTATCAGAAGCTACCTGGGCACAAATAATAGCTCAACGAATTGGCTTATCACGTGGAAATTGATAGCAGCCAAATACTCTAAACGCGCGTTGTTTCTAAATGTGGAGGGAAAAACCAGAGGCCGTGACCACAAGGAGAGAGACATGCAGACTCCAAATATACAGGCGTCGGGGTTGGGATCGTATCCAAGACCTGTGTAACAGGCGAGGTAGTTAACATCTCGCCACCGCGACACCGAAGTGATAGCTCAGTGGAGTCCGTTTTGTCCCACCAGAACACGTGCATTGTATTGGGCGGTCACCGGTGATATTCGCCTGGTGGTTTGCACCTCACCGCATTCACGGTTTTGCGAGTCCGTGATCTTCCATTCGTGGAGGAAATATCCACAGCGTTAACGTGCAGGTTTTTTGGCGGCCGCTATCCACGTTGGGTTTGCGTGTGTTGAGAACCCTTCTCAAGCTTTCACCACATGCTGCTGTGGGAATATTTCAGGTGTTAATACGAATCTTTATTTTCCTGGAGAAATCCGATAAGCTATAAAGCTCTTTTGAATTAGCAAAATAAAAAAAAGATGGATATGCCTCCACATTTCTGTCCCTCCGCGTAATTTTGTTTAAAGTCTCTTGTTTTACACATCCCATCAGCCACGTGGTCTACTTGGGAGTGCATAATTTCAGCAAAATTTAATTCGACACAAGCAAACTCTGGACCGGGCTTCAACATGCAGTGGCTCTTCGGCAGAGTCAGGTTTGCTTGAACCAATGCTGGTGACCTGTCCACTGTTTATAAGCGAGGAACCCTTGCTGTTGGACTGTGTCCCCGAGATTGCTTGTGGTTGAACCAATGCTGCTGAAAGAATACACTCATATGGATGTGTGGCTTAATGTCGAGGTAAAGATGTGTGAAGGAGGTTTCTTGTTTGCTTAATTATTTTGTTGCTAATATTTTTTCCGCAATGACGCAAACTGTTAGGTAATCTCACGTGGTGTTATTTGCCCCGTAATCTGCTGGCTCGGTTGAACAAAGTACGATCAGGGTCCATGGAATGCCTTCATTGTCTCCTTCATAAACACCGATTGTTCTGTGCTCGTTTGATCTCGGGGTGACTTTGATGACTTATGTATACTGGCCCCGGTATTGATCTCTCTTCAGGCTATCTGTAATTCTGTTCCCTTTGTGGCAGAGCCACCTCCCTGTGTTTGTGTTTTATTTTTGTTTTTGTTGGCGTGAGGAGCTGATCAATCAGAGTCCGTTCAACCAAGTCGGCAAACTGCAAAGCAAACGTGATGACAGGAGGAGGCGCGATTACCTAAATTAAATTCCTGATTATGCCAAATGTTGTGCCTGGCATAGCGCTTGAGAGAATTGCTCTGCCTGGCATAGCACTTGAGAGAATTGCTGTGTCTGGCATAGCACTTGAGAGAATTGCTGTATCTGGCATAGCGCTTGAGAGAATTGCTGTGTCTGGCATAGCGCTTGAGAGAATTGCTGTGCCTGGCATAGCACTTGAGAGAATTGCTGTGTCTGGCATAGCGCTTGAGATAATTGCTGTGTCTGGCATAGCACTTGAGAGAATTGCTGTGTCTGGCATAGCGCTTGAGAGAATTGCTGTGTCTGGCATAGCGCTTGAGAAAATTGCTGTGTCTGGCATAGCACTTGAGAGAATTGCTGTGTCTGGCATAGCGCTTGAGAGAATTGCTGTGTCTGGCATAGCGCTTGAGAGAATTGCTGTGCCTGGCATAGCACTTGAGAGAATTGCTGTGCCTGGCATAGCACTTGAGAGAATTGCTGTGTCTGGCATAGCGCTTGAGAAAATTGCTGTGTCTGGCATAGCACTTGAGAGAATTGCTGTGTCTGGCATAGCGCTTGAGAGAATTGCTGTGTCTGGCATAGCGCTTGAGAGAATTGCTGTGCCTGGCATAGCACTTGAGAGAATTGCTGTGCCTGGCATAGCACTTGAGATAATTGCTGTGTCTGGCATAGCGCTTGAGAGAATTGCTGTGCCTGGCATAGCGCTTGAGAGAATTGCTGTGTCTGGCATAGCACTTGAGAGAAATGCTGTATCTGGCATAGCGCTTGAGAGAATTGCTGTGTCTGGCATAGCACTTGAGAGAATTGCTGTATCTGGCATAGCGCTTGAGAGAATTGCCCAATTCTAGATTTGAAGCTTACGTGACTGCAAGGATTCATACTCTTAGGTTTTTTAGGAAAAAGTCACGTAGGTTAAAAAATAAATAATAATAAAATTTGACATATTAATAGATTATTTTATTTATATTATTATTTCTATTATTTTTATTATTAATTTCTTACCTACGTGACTTTACCGAAAAAACCTGAGAGTAAGAATTGCCCAACCCAGGAAATCACCACTTGAACTCCAGAGATGTTGCCACTTTTCTTTAATCGACTACCACGTCTTTGTTTCTCTCTCTCTCTTTAGGCTGCAGCGTGGCAAGCCGTCGGAGCATTAGCAATTACTACGGCCGTTTTGTTTGTCATGGGGTGGAGGTGTCTTTGACAGAAAAAAAAATTCGTATAAAAAGTCGCAAAAATATAAATAATCTTTGTGTAAATTCACAAGCTGCTGCATAATTATATTAAATGATGAGGATGTTACATAAAAGGTTTTTTTTAAATAAATAAGCTGCTTTCTGTGTTTAGTTTGTTGTCCTTCCCCCGCACCTTCTGTTAGCACGGTTGGCTACGGATGGTGCGAAAGAAGTTCAACACACATAGATAGAGCATTGCTTTGAAGATGCATTGCATTGTGAATTTCGTTGCAACATTTTTTATGGACCTGCATGCGTTTAGTGTAAGACGTTTTGCCATGCATGTGTTAGTTTTGAAATTGCATTTTCGATTGTAAGAACAGGCACTGATTATTGCATATGCTGCTGTAGCATACATTCAGATGAGCCACTCGCTGTTCACACTTTTGCTAAAGTCTTAAATACATTCCCTAAGCACTGTGGATTTTATAGATTTTTTTTATTAAGCGAGTGGCACAGAACACTGTTTGCAAAATATTCCATCATTACGTTACTTTAATTTGGAGAAACAACACATTAACCATCATCCTCTGAACGGGAATTTTAGCTAGTCTCGTGCGAGTGGAGCTGCTTTTAGTCAGCATATCAATGTAACCCTTATGCACACATCACGGTATTTGAGTACTTTGTAAAATGTATATTTGTGGGATTGTGGTATATATGTTATATTTTTTACAATATATATTACCCTCCTTGTGTCTTTCTGCTCGTTTTTTTTTATTGTGAACCAATTGTGTACCGTACGTGTTAACGACATCGTCACTACGATGACGACGATGATGAAATGCAGACACTAAATTACACTAATAGCACAGCGCATATCATAAGATCAAAGTACTGTTAAAAGTTCTAGATTTGAAGTTTTCGTTACTGCAAGGATCCATACTCTTTGTTTTTTTCGGTAAAGTCACGTAGGTTAAAAGAGAAAACAAGACGGAAGCTTGTGTTGCCTCCGAAACGTTGTGATTTAATTTGTTTTCTTTTTTAACCTACGTGACTTTACCGAAAAAACCAAAGAGTACTGTTAAGAGATTAAAGCCACCATAACCATTGGCATGGATACAGTTCATGATTTAACACAACAATGCTGAAATAAAGTCTCTGCAGCATTAACTATCAGTCACTGGGCCATTTGTTGGGGACATTATCAGAGCGATAGCTTATCAGGGTGGGCTCGCTTGTATGGAGATCATTTTCCTATGCAAATGTTTTGCAAAGGCAGACACTATTTAACATCCACACCTTGTACTCAAAGAAATTCCCAACAAAAGAAAAAAGGTGGATATGGGCTCGAATGAATCATCTTTTAAACACGAGTAGTGGATTGAAACTGGATACCGCTGATAGTGAAACAGCTTTTTTTTTAATATCGGAAAATCAACTACGTCATATTTTTAGTTGGAAACGTTTGAACATCACACTTTTTTTGGTGGCACAGTATGCTCCGTTGCTTCACTCCGTCCCATTGCCCGAGCAGAGTTCATGTCTTCTCTTGTAAGATAGTAAAGATATGTATTATCTTGACATGTTGCTACATTTGTGCTCCGAACATGCTGAAACCGTTTTTTTTTATCCTTTATAGAGCGAGCTCCACGGTGATTGCTGCTGACATAACGAGGGCCTTCAACGACCTCTCGCCATTTCACATTCAACGACTGATGCCACCTCCACGCACCGTCACGGCCTCTCCGATCCGCTCATTCACATCGTGCGCCACGTGCCGGGAACTCGACCCTGCACCCGGGGTGACGGAGGCTGTGCATGCGGCCGCGCCAAGACGACGAAATGCCCTGGCTACCGGTGGTGAGACAGGCGAGCTCGCCGCCCTGTTTGGGCTCTCCTCTAAAGACTCGCCTGCTTCGCCTGCGGGCCTACCCTTCCCCATGTGTGACCAGTGGGACTTGTTAGAATTTATATTAAACTTGATTTGAAGCTTTCGTGACTGCAGGATTTACTATTTGGTTTTTTCGGTAAAGTCAGGTAGAAAGAAAATAAATTAAACAATAGAATACGACGTTTCGATTGCAACACAAGCAATCGTCATCAGGTAGAACACAAACCTAGTAAACTGAGAAATACAATGCAATACAACACAGAGAGTCGGCTAACACAACAGTCAACACCCTACCTGGTTGATTACGTTCTTCCAAAGATTGCTACATTTGGGAGAGAGACAAAAGACAGACACGGAGACACACAAGCAGAGAGACAGACAGAGAGACAGAGAAACAACGCCTCTGTGTGGAGGCCTTGTTGGCGTGTTGGCTGGTTCAATCAAGGACGACGTGGTTGCCCACGCGGTGAAGCACAGGGCAGTGCTCATCCCCCGTGTACAGCGTTCAGCCAGCAGGTGGAAATTCTACACTCCGATAGGAAGGTTACGTTTATCCTTGACTTCCTATAAAACAGTCTCACTTTATTGACCCACTAATAATGAAGGCGATTGCGAACCTCGAGAACCAGTACTCCAGCCACAGATTATTTTACGTGCTGTATCATTCAGTGTGTTACAACACATTGACAATTGTAAACTAATGCAAATAGAGTGCTAAGAATTACAACATCAGTACCTGTGGGCCAAATTTATGAGTTTGGGCCAAGGTGTCCATGACAAGTGTTGACTCTGCACCTTGTAAAAATCTACCCGTGCTCGCCGCGAGCATTGGGCAATGCTTGTACGATAACCGAGTCACTTTTGGACACTGCGTATGCCTGTGGTGGAGACTGCTCCTTTAGACAACCTCTGTTAATCTTCCACCAAGAGGTTGCTCACCACCTCTGACCAGGACGCCCGAAACGCGCCCAATCTCATAACGTGTGGCACTCTTAAGCAGGGGCACACCTGGATCGTGCTTGGATGGGCGCTCACCACGCTCAGCAACCCACACCGATTAGCACGGTGAAGTATGATCAAACACCCCTCAAGACCCACCACAGCGTGGCGAGGCCCTCATCCAGCAGTGGATTAGGCCAAAAAAATAAAGGCTGCACGTGTGTGCAACATTTTACGAACCCCTCCTTGGGACTCCGCCTCGTGCAATCACGGGTAGAAGCGCGCCGGCGTGCGGTGCCTGGCAACGGTTTGTAACCAAAAAAAAAGCTCGCCTGTTCGACGTGTCTCGTTTATGGCAAGTCAATAGATGGGCCACGCGGAACGTGTTGAGGCTATCGGGTGGCAAAACTGCGAGCGACAAATGTGCTACAAAAGGGGTGTTGCATTACCCACTCCCCACACCCCCCCCCCCCAAGTGTCTCTCCGTGACAACGGAACGGCAAATATCGTGCTTTATGATTTACTGGCACGTCATTTTAATTCTGTACAATGCATAAACGAACGGCTTCGGTGGGGTGGAGGGGTGGAGAGATATTTTTTGACAGGAGGGTGCCCGCATTACATTCCTTTCACGAGGGATCCCATGCCAACCGAGCCACGCCACTGCCTATGAATACGCGATGCTGAAATGCATCAGGTGAAGAATGAGAAAAATGTAATACGCTTCGGTAGCAATCATAACATTGACCAAACAAGAGTCTGATTACTCTGCAGATATATTCTACCATGACCATTAAATGCTCAAATTGTGATTGGCAGTGCACGTAGGAACACGCTCGCGCATAGAAACTCATTGAAATGCGTACACAGTCATACAAACCAAACAGGCAGCATTAAATTGACTGTTGTGCCTACAACAAAAAATAGTGTGAAGTGAGTATTAATCGTGGTACAATTTTTTAAGTTTTGTACTTTGTTAAATACACTGCTGGATTGCTGGAAAAAAAACCTTCTGACGTGGTATCTGTCATAAAGGGTAGTTAGATCATACTACACAACACGGGTCAATTGTGAGTTGGTAAAGTTGGACTCCCAGGACCAGTTCGGATATAACTGTGGCCACTGATGTTAGCCGTAACCGAGAATTCAACTCAGGGATGCAGGTTCGTAGTGCAGTCTGCTCACTGCAGTGCCACTCCGCTCCTAACCCCCGTTGTATCGATGTAAATCGGTGTCCCCATGCATTAATGGCCATTGGCTGGTGAATAATTCTGTGAGCGGTTTTGTCGGTGGAAATTCCTTATTTATTTGGCTGGGATCAGTCTCACCCCACGTGAATTGTGATTATGATCACTGCTGGCGGAGGGGCCTCCACTCGAGGGAGCCCATCCACGTGGTGCTTTGCCTATCTTCCGATGCTCGCCCGATATCTAGAGACGTGCAAGTGCCCACACTCTGCCGCACTGCACGCGACCTGCCGATCGACGAAACTGCGGGGCCCGAAGCGGAAAATTATTTTTGGGGGTCTCTCATGGTTGAGGTTTAGGAGGGGGCACGTGGGAGCAACGCCCCCCCCCCTCCTAACTCGACACATTTTTTAATTAATTTTCAGTAGTTTACAATTAAGATTACATTTTAATTCATGATATGCACCCGCGATTCCTAATGTGAGCGACAACGCGAACCCCTGCACCCCCTGAATATAAAAGTCGACCTCCGCCTATGGGGCGGGGGGGGGGGTCCTCCCCATTTCAATCTAAGAAAATCCATAGCAGATGACAGAAGCCACGCGGTGCCGTCGGAGAGGAACGTCGACAGGTTGATGCCTCTCGTGCTGCGCGCTGTTTTGTAATCGCTGCAAAGCGCCTCGGTAAGGGCTCGGTACAAATCCCGATGAGATCAACGATGCATTGAGTTCAGAGAAGAGGGTTGAATTGGCTTTTTTTCCACATTATTTAAGTTTCGTTTCTTTTGATTTGATTCCGAGCAGATATTTGACGCATCTCGTTCGCTCGATTAATCTGCAGCCCGTTGTGCTGCTCAGGGCGCTAAGCAACTTGTTTGCATTGCTTATCCAGAGCGACTCCACTGCACGATAGTCTTGGTTGACGAGAGCCGGGAATTTCCCTCATTAAAGTGCGGTACGTCTGCACTGTGAACCTGGGTAACCCGAGTGCTCAAGAAGGGTTCCCGGCGTGTCTTATGTGAGCTATAAATTGTAACAACGCACAAAATTGAAGACCTTTAAAAAGATACTGCACAACTCACAAAAGAACACAATGAAGTCAATCATTGTTTCCACATTCGTGCGAGTGTGATTGCAATCTGGTTTGATCCGTGTCCTGTGTTTTTTAAAGGATAGTCTTCACACCGAAGTAGCCGCTGTCCCAGCGGACAAAAAAAATGAAAAAATGCCGTTTTGTTGTGTCAGTTGCGTGATAGTACGCTAACGCGGCTTCAGATCTCAACGCCGTACAGCCCTTGCTGTGCCTCGGATTCAAGAGAGGTGCAGAGAACGGCGGACAGATCTTCACAGTCTTTCACTGACTTTGCGAAAGCGTTCGACGCTGTCCCCTGAGCTGTACTTTGGCATCGTCAACCGAGTGCAGCGTTGGCTGCCCGTGAACATGATGCCGACGTTACCTAAAGAATTCACGATCGTTGGTTGGCGTCAAGGTCAGCAGCGTTGGCTGCCCGTGAACATGATGCCGACGTTACCTAAAGAATTCACGATCGTTGGTTGGCGTCAAGGTCAGCAGCGTTGGCGGTGCTTCTGCCCGAAACCATTTCCTCTTCACGAACGCCCACATCGCAGGGACGTCTGATGAGACCGCCATTGCCCTCTTTCGTCGTCGCTACAATGATTGAGGGCGCGAGCGTGAGGTCTGAACGCCAATATATCGATCCACTTCAGATCCACCAAAG